TCTGTGACCTTGGACAAGTTCTTTAATCTCATTGACAAATGAAGCTTTTAATAGTATCTTTCTCACAGGGTTGTTTGTGAGACTTAAATCAATCCACACAAACTGCTTAGAACAATGCCTGGCACATAAATGTTTAACAAATGTTCTCTACTCTTATTATCCACCCCTGTGCCAGTTCTCGCTGCCAGGGTTACATTTCCCCCTTCTCCCTGTCTGCTGAAACCTGGAGGAAGGGGAGGAAGGGGAGGTTGAGCTGGACCACTCTGAGAGCAAAGGAACAGGACATGAACAGCACAGACCAAACGAATCACAGGACAACATCCGCCCTAACCCCCTTAGTATGATCAAATGTTTTGCCTGGGACCTATGGGAATACATTTTAAAGCATGATCCAGTACATGCATTTGCATATCTTTATACACAGACATAATTCATATGACTAAAAGTTTCACAGAATAATATGTATCCTTACTGCACATGATTCACTCTTACAGCTGCTGTTTATGTTGTTATAAATGCTGGTTTCCACCTACTAAATTGGTTGTAAGCACTGCCTTTGGTTGTAACTCAGTTTGAGAAATGACCGTGAGTCCCTGCTCTGTGATGGACTCTATTTGGGGTGATATTAAGACCTTCAGAGGCCCTAAATCCTCACGTATTACAAGTGAATGTCTTGTTACAGGATGGAAACAGAGTTGGGGGAGTCTCAGAGGCACCTGCCACACAAAGCACTTTGGAATCACTGGAAAGTTTTAAGCCAAGGAAGACCCTGGGGCACCTGTAGAATGGCTTGGAAAGACCAAGTCAAGGACAGAGGACCCTCTAGGGCAGCTGCTTCAGACATCCAGGTGAGAAAGGGCCATGGCTGAAGACAGAACCAGGGGCATGGTGAGTGCCGGAGTGGGGAGTAGCATGAACAAGGCCCAGCGGCTGAGGGGTTAGCTGCGCTGACTGGGTCAATATGATGCTGCCTGCTGAGGCAGGTAAGAGCAGGTTTGGGGAGAACGACAATTCTGATTTGGAATGAACTTGAGATAGCCTATAGTAAAATTTCAGGCTGGAAATACAACTTTCATTCGTTCACTAATGTGCTACCCACATAAGGAAACTACATTTTGTTTTTCCATTAAATTCACATCCACCATCACCCACTGTTTAGAAAAAGAAGCATCAAAATAGGAAAGGCATAGTGTCAGAAGGAAGGGACAGTTGGTTAGAACTGAGCACATTTAGATGATGGAAAAACTCGCCCGGTTTTGCTGTGCTCCATTGAAAACCTTACAGTACAAGCTGAACCTATGGACTGTAATTTGAGAAATCACCAATATGAAGAATGAGCAGAGCAAGAGAGAGTGGCAGAATAGATTGTAAAGGGATGGCTCCAGAGGTGGGAGAAGAATCAGGAGGGGAAGCCAGCGCTGTGGTGCAGCGGGTTAACGCCCTGGCCTGAAGCGCCGGCATCCCAAATGGGCATTGGTTCAAGACCTGGCTGCTCCACTTCTGATCCAGCTCTCTGCTGTGGCCTGGGAAAGCAGTGGAAGATGGCCCAAGTCCTTGGGCCCCTGCACCCACGTGGGAGACCCAGAAGAAACCCCTGGCTCCTGGCTTCAGATCAGCGCAGTTCCAGCCATTGTGGCAAATTGGGGAGTGAGCCAGCAGATGGAAGACCACTCTCTCTGTCTCTACTTCTCCTTCTCTCTGTATAACTCTGACTTTCAAATAAATAAATCTTAAAAAAAAATCAGGAGGGAGTGAACCTGGAAGCCAAAATGAGCACTTGGCCAACCGTGCCTTTTGCCACCCGGAGTTCAGAGAGGTCATCAGATTTGGCAATGATGAGGTCATTGGTGAGCTCTGGCAGTGTCTTTTCACCAGAGTGATGGGGCTGGGGCCGAAGTACAGTTGGTTGAGATGTGGATGGAAAGCTCAGAGGAGTGGATATATGGAGTAGAGACTAGTTTTTTTTTTTAAATAAAGATTTATTTATTTATTTGAAAGAGTTACACAGAGAGAGGAGAGGCAGAGAGAAGTCTTCCATCTGCTAGTTCACTCCCCAATTGGCCACAATGGCTGGTGCTACACTGATCCGAAGCCAGGAACCAGGAACCAGGAGCTTCTTCCGGGTCTCCCATGCAGGTACAGGTACCCAAGGATTTGAGCCATCTTCTACTGCTTTCCCAGGCCATAGCAGAGAACTGAATCAGAAGTGGAGCAGCCGGGACTCGAACTGGCGCCCATATGGGATGCCGGCACTGCAGGCCATGGCTTTACCTGCTACACCACAGCGTCAGCCCTAGTAAAGACTACTTTTAAGCGACTTGAAGGTGAAGGAAAGAAAAGAGAGAGGAAAGAAAGAAAGAGACAGAGGGGAAGAGAAAGCTTTTGGAAGGAGGGTGCTTGTTTGGGGGGGATTACAGATAATTTTATGATTATAAAATTATAATCCAGGCCGGCGCCGTGGCTCACTAAGCTAATCCTCCGCCTTGCGGCGCCGGCACACCAGGTTCTAGTCCCGGTCGGGGCGCTGGATTCTGTCCCGGTTGCCCCTCTTCCAGGCCAGCTCTCTGCTGTGGCCAGGGAGTGCAGTGGAGGATGGCCCAGGTGCTTGGGCCCTGCACCCCATGGGAGACCAGGAGAAGCACCTGGCTCCTGCGGCGGCCATTGGAGGGTGAACCAACGGCAAAAGGAAGACCTTTCTCTCTCTCTCTCTCACTGTCCACTCTGCCTGTCAAAAAAAAAAAATTATAATCCAAAGGGAAAGGGCTAGTATAGAGAGGTTGAGCGCTCCTGAAGAAGAGTCTAACTTCTGGAGGAAGGGCCTGGAGGAGGAAGGTGGATGACGCCAAGGCCCAGGCAGAGGGATTAGCCTTTAACGAAAGGGGCACCTTGTCCTCTGGGGAGGGAGGGACGGAGGGGAAGGAAGTTGGAGAGGCAGGCAGTTCTGGGGGGGGCAGGCAGGGCACTGAGGTAATTCACGCTTGAAGGCCTCTGTTTTCTCAGGGAAGTAAGAGGAGAGGTTGTTCTGAGCAGGGCGAGGGGCGGGGCAGGGCCATGGTAGGGAACTGAAGGGAGTTTGGAAAGCAGCCCAGGGAAATGTGGAGGCTGGAGCCGGAGACTTCACACAGCAACATTGTCAGGGAGGACTGAGGAGGACTGGGCCCAACCGGGGCTGACTGCATCTGCCTTCCTCTTGCACGTACCGGCTCCGGTGCTGGGTCCTCAGTGCTTTGCTCTGCCCAGGTCGTCCTCTTCCTAGGCAGAGGCCAGCACGATGTCCAGCCCAGAGGAGGCAGCCTGGCCTCTCAGAAAGCTCTGGCAAAGCAATCACTGAGCCAACCAAGAAGCACTGTGGGATTAGGGGAAACAGACAAGAGATCTCAGTTGCTCGGACAGGTGTTCTCCTTCTTGGCCAATGCACAGCTTTCCTGCTCTCCTGCTGACCTCCCTTGCTTCTGTGCTAAGTGTAGAGGGGAACACCCGGGCTCCTGCTTTGCCCAGCAACACGATTCTTACTGGCTGGGGAAAGGCCAACAAGGGATGGGGCCAGTGGCTTCAGCTCCATGCACTGAGTGAGACCGAGGCAATTCTTAGAGGGTAGCAAGATGGAGCAGTGGGGAGAACATGGAGCTACGGCGACAGGACCTGTGAACTATGAACAGTGGCTGAAAGAACACAAGTTCAAGGTGGGAGGGCGCAATGATGGTGGCACAACTGAGTCTGCTTGGGCTCAAAGGGCTGTCTGCAGAGGCTGGTGCTGTGGTGTAGTGTGCTAAACCTCTGCCTGCAGCACCAGCATCCCACATGGTCGCTGGTTCAAGTCTCGGCTGCTTCAATCCAGCTCCCTGCTAATAGCCTGAGATAGCAGTGGAAGATGGCCCAAGTCCTTGTGCCCCTGCCCCCACGTGAGTGATCTGGGAGAAGCTCCTGGCTCCTGGCTTCGGATCAGTGCAGCTCTGGCCATTGTGACCATCTGGGGAGTGAACCAGCAGATGGAAGACCTCTCTCTCTGTCTCTCTGTCTCTCTCTCTCTCAAACTCTGCCTCTCAAATAAATAAATCAATCTTTTTAAAAAGGGGCTATGTGCCTCTCTTTTCCCTTTCTCTGCATCCACATGTATTTTCAGAGGCCACATAGGGATAACAAATATCCTAGAGTGTGACAAGGGGTCTTTTGCTTCCCCTTGTGGCCCAATCCCCCCAGCTTGGCTCATTCAGCCCCACTTCTCATTTTAGCCAGTGATGCAGTACATAAGCAAGTCCCCATCTTCTGGTGGTAAATTCAGTAAGAATGCTCAGAGACAGATAGAAATTTGAGCTCCCCAGAGGTCCTCTCGCCCCTAAGATTTCCTTCTTTAGGATTCCAGGATCCAGGCTGCAGTTAGAAAATTCAGGGACAAAGAGCTCACCCCAGGCCAAGGCAGCACATTCCACTGGATTCATTTGATCTCTGTTTATTGAGGGCCTCTACAGTGCCAGGGCCTTGAGTTAGCTGGTGGCTGAGCTATTAGAAAATTTCCTTTGATTGAGCCAAAATGTGTCTTGCTGTAGCTTCTACCCATGGGCCTCTGCGTGCCTTTTGAAGTCACACAGACCACGTCTAATGTCACTGCAGTCTAATCCTCAGATACTTGGAAAAGGCTGTCATTTCCTGAGACTGTTCTCTCCCCCACCAATAAGCATTTCTTTGCTTCTTTTTCTTTCTTTATATGTCTTGACATTTTATTCCCAAAATAATATCAGTTCATTGTGCAACTTTTTAGAAACATCAGGAAAGCATACAGAAGAAAGTGACAATCTTCCCCTACTCACTCCCTGCCCTGACACCTGTATCACACTTCCTTCTACCCAGTCCTTCGTCCTCTGCCTACTGGATACTCTATGCTTTTTTTCTTGCCAAAATGTGATCATCCCCTAAGCAATGTTCTAGAGGCTTACCTTTTTCACTCTTTCAGCATATTAATTTCCCCCTTGTTCTTATCCTGTGCCAATTTCAACGTGAAATGGCGTAACTGTTGTTCAATTATCAATTTAAGTAGCTTTTCCAAGTGAGGCATTTACTTTGCTTTCCCAGTTTTTCTTTGCTGTAAAGAGTACAGTGAAGCTGGAATCTGCAGTGGGGTGGTGCTGGGGTCTGGGCGAACAGAGCAAAAGGGAGGCCTTGAATCACATCAGTCAGAGGAGTTTAGCATCTGATTGTTTTTTGCACTTTGTGTCTAGTTGTACTTCCTAGAATCTTCTGGGGAGTGCCTGCTTCATATTTGGTTGCAAGGATTTATCCTAATTCACGCGACTGGATTCCTATTATTGGACATTGAGGTTGTTTCTAATTTTTGACAATTACAAACCAGGCTGGGATGAACACCCAAGCAGCTAAATCTGTGCTGGTGCTGGGCACTGAGGTCAGGAGGAATATTTTCAAGACCTCTAAAGCATAAGGTGCTTGCCAGCAGTTGTAACTGGAAACTTGTTGGCAAGGGCCCAGAAAGTTGGGCAAGGCCAAGGCCAAGACCTGCACTCCAGTCTCTGGGCTTGCCTGAGGTCAATATCCATTACCCAGGCCCTGTCACAGAGTGTTCAGGCTGGTGGTGCCCTTCTGGGACCCCTGGATCAGCCCCCTCATCTCACACAGGAAGGAACAGAGGCCTGGGATGGTCCATCAGCATTTTAGCGCCAGGAAGGACGCTGCCTCTCCCCAAGCACCCCGGCTCTGGCAAATCCATTCGGGATCTGAGCTGGAATCCCATGTGAGTTCCCCAGTCTCCTTAGAGAGGTCAACCTTCTCTTCTCCCCGGGAACCTTTGCGAAGGCCTTGCCTCTCTCTAACCCCCTGCTTCTGACAGCTCTCGGTGATTTCGGTGCTGATGAGCCCCCCACCACCACCACCACTCCTTCCCCCTTGGGCTTTGCAGTAGCCTGGGGAATTCACACAAATGGTGTGCAATTTGTCCCTTCTGTGTTTTCCTTTCTGATTTGGAAGTAAAGCTAACTCTTCACCCCCCACCGGCACCTTGTTTATTCAACTGGGAGAGATTTCACACCCAGGAACCCAGCTCTCCCTCCTGGAGCCCCTTCCCTAAATAGTCGCCCCCCCCCCTTCCCACTCCCCCAACCCCTGCACTCACAGAATAATTTATGAGTGCAGGCCCGGGCTTATAAAAGGGTCTCGCAGGAGAGGCCAAAAGAGTACAGGGGGTTCTGAGAACTGGGACAGCCCACAGCCTGCTTGGCCTTGCTGCCCTAAGGATGGACCCCTCCGTTCCGGCTGCTGCCGCCCCTGTCCCAGCTCCAGCATTAGCCCGAGCCCCCCTGGCCTTCCCTGGCCCGTTAAGCCCCTCACTCCTTTCTTCCTCTGGACAAGTACACGAGAGTGAAAGGTAAGTGGGACTTGCCCTTTGGCAGGATTAGGAACCCAGGATTAGGGGGATTGCTGAGACGGTGGGGAGGGGGAGGATGAGGGATCGGAAGTGTCCCTGTTCTCTGTGAAAGGGAGAGGCAGGGGCCTCACAGTCTTTACTCCGTGGCCGCAGCAGCTATATTTCATCCGGGTCTTCACCTCGCTAATCCCTCTGGGTAGCAGGAGGGCAATGGGGGTAGCGGATGTTGCTGAAGCTGAAGGCCAAGGAGCCAAGCCTGCATGGTCCAGATTGTGGAGTGCATTGAGGGGCACAGGTGAGATTGCCAGAAAAAGCTGGGCTTAACACCACCTAGATTTCGGAGGGGAGATATGGGAAAGAGGGTCAAAGTCTAAAGAGGACATTGGGACACTCTTTCCTAACCACGCCACCGCCAGAGTCCCATTTGCTTTTGTCCTACCTCTGAAAGTCCAGCGAGGAAGCAGCAGATTCCTTTCCCCAGCCCTGGAAGATGCTAGGCCTTGAGCTCTATTTTGTGGAACAGCAGGTAGGAGGCAAGGGTGTTCCACCCACCTCTCATCCACTCCTCCAAAGGTTTAACCTTCAACAAACATTTGCTGAAACACCTACTGTGTACCAGGCATTGTGCTAGGCACTGGCGATTCAGATATGATCAAAGTGTCATTGAGCTTAGAGCCCAAATAGACAATCACAAAACAGCGTAATAAGAGCATTAATAACATTGTGGAAACAGAGAGGAGGGGCATCTGCTGGCCCCAGCTCAGGGGCTTTAGCAAAGGCCTCCTGGAGCAGATGGCACCTGTGCCAAGCTCTTTGGAAGCCTCTCTGGTTATCTCAGGGAGTCCTCATGGCAGTCCTTCTTCCGCTGCCTTATCTCTCCTCTTTGCCCTAGAGGAGATTGTCTTTGGAGACCTTGGCTGTCCTCCACAGATGAACCCGCAAGGCCGCCGCCAGTGGAGTTGGTGAGTTTGAACCTCTGGGACGTGCGTTCACAGGCATGTGCAGCTGCATGCATTCACACGGGCCAGGTCCCTTCCCAGAGAGCCCCTCACCTGGGTACCGCCCAAGCTGCGGGTCTGGCGAAGCAGCCTCACCGCTTTGTGAACGTTTTGATTCCCATGACAGCTCGGGCAGGAGAGCAGGCCTGAGGTGTCTGTGGCAAATGGAGGAGATAGAGGCCCAGAGTGGGGGAGGGATTGGAGCAGGCCCCCCCAGCCAGTGTGTGCGAGAGTCAGTGCTCAGAGCCGGTCTCCTGGCACCAGGCCCGGGTTCCCCCATCCTGTCTCCCTCAATCTTTGCTGCTTCAGTGGAACTCTGTCCCCTGGACAGCCTCCAAACAGGTGTTGGAACAGGGGCAGGAAAACAAACGATCCCCAGGACTCTGTTCACTTCTTTTTCAACCAGAACCAAGACAGACCCCATATTGTGGGAAGGGATGGGGGCAGCTGGACCCCAGAGATGTCTAAGGTCTCTTCTAGATCATCTTGCCTGTGGGTTTCCGGCCTCTGCTGCAGAGGAAGCAGTTATCTGGCCATCTACTTGGGGCCACATGCTAACTTTGCTTTGGACAGGCTGCTGATGGGGCAACAGCTGCTGAGGTCACCAAGGCTGACTCTGGGTTCCATCACCCGGTCAGGTAAGTGACCGACAACAAACTCAGAGCTTGACATAGATCTGTGAGCTCTTTAAATCTCCCACAAAAGTCCCACGAAGCAGGAGTGGGGGAGGTTCTGCTATGATCGTGCCCTCACAGATGACGAAATTGAACCCTAGAGACCTTCAGGGACTTGGCCAATTGTCAGTGGTCTCTGAGAATGAACCATGATGGGCAGGTTAGTGAAGGGACCCTGAGTAGAATAAGGTAGACCCTGGGGAATTCTTGGCTAGCAGCCTCCTGGGGTGGGGGAGTGGAATCAGTGCTATAGGCCCACCAGGGACTTACCTTCTTTTCTGGGGCCATTTTGGAACATTTCACAAGGTTCTGTTACACAGCTCCCCTTCTCTCTTCCCCTTGGACCCTACGATGGCAAGTAAGAGAAGGGGTTTAGGAGCTAGTTTCTTTCTTGGCTACACTGACCCCTCTATGTGCACCAACACTAAGCTAGGAACCACATGTCTTCTCTGTCCACAGGCTCTACTGGCCTAAATCTCGCTCCTTTGACTACCTGTACAGTGCTGGGGAGATATTACTGCAGCACTTCCCTGTCCAGGCAACCATCAACCTGTATGAGGACTCAGACAGTGAAGAGGAAGAGGAGGAGGAGGATGAAGACGACAAAGAAGAGAAAGAGGAGGCTGAGCAAAAGGGGCCAGAGGGGTGTGTGAGGGTACCAGGGTCTTCACCACACAGGGCCACAGCTTCCCCGCCCCTGACCTGTCCAAACTGACACACCTTGCCAGTCAGCGTCTGATTGGGGTTTCGTATGCCTGGCAAGCTTCCCTGTGCACCAGTGAGTCGCAAGTCTCCTGTCACAGCTTTCTGGCTCTTTCACCCAACGGGTCTGTGAGCCCAGATGCCTTTGGCATCTGCTTGTCTGGGCTGCTATTGTGTTGACAGTGGGAGGGCCCCAGGAGCTCTTGGGAGAGGAAGGCCGGCTTCCTGCCTCCCCAGGAAGAGCGGTAGGACAGGGTGTGCCCTCAGAGAGGGGAGCAGTCACTGCTCACGGCCCTTTTCACTCCCTAGCTCTCCTAGGTAGGCCGTGGAGTTCCATCTCCTTCTCAGAAAGCCTGATCTGGCTTCACCTGCAGGGATACAAATACCAGATCCAAGCGAGGTTGGGGTGCCTTTCTGATGGGTTTTTCCCAAAGGAAAGGGGATGTTTAGAGAGTCATTAGCTCTGAAAATCCCCTCCCCCAGTGTTGCCCACTATCCACTGAAGTGTACGTGTTGGCATGAGATGAATCAGGAGAAAAATAAACTGGATGATGTTTGCCTTTTTCTTGGAACTATGCTGATTTCTTAACTGAACTCTGCCCACATTGCAAAGCCCTGGGCAGAGGGTCAGAGACCAACTCAAGGCCAATTCATTGCTCTGCCTGAGGTCAGCTGACAGATTTTGCTCCATGGGGATGAAGGGCTGGAGACCCACCGTGCAGCTGAGACTTCTCCATAAACTTGTCCAATCAAGTTTGATTAAGCTTTAAGAACAACTTAGAAAGGAGTAAAAAGGACACCAAAAGGCAGCCCGAAATTTCGAAGCGGGCATAGGGGTTTGGCGGAAGGTAAGCGGTGCAGTCTCACTGGAGCCTTGGACGTGGCTGTGTGAGTGTGGAGAGAGGGGTTGGAGGCTACTAAGTGCTGGCGGTTTTCTCTCTTCAGTTTCCTTTGTATCTGCCACAGTTCAATCCCTCATGCCTACGCTTGCCCCAATTACTCTTCAACTATGTTCTTGCCTCCAACATGACCCTTGGCAATTTATTCTCGACTCTGGCTGCCACAGCAGACCATAGCCTGTCTTTGCCTCACCAAGAGTTGAAAAAAAAAGTATATATATAGATAGAGAGAGAGAGAGAGAGAATTCATGGCTTCTCTATGCAGAAAACACATGTGTATGCACACAGATGTGGTGCTGCACATTCACAAATCAAGAGCTGAAAATTCCATCACCTGTTCTCGAGTGTGGCGTGCCTTCTAACACCTCTGCGGCTTCCCGCCTCGGTCTGCAATGCCTCTCCATCCTTGCTTGCCTGTGAAACTCCCAGAGCCGTCCAGCAGGACCAGCTCAGACACCCCTCCTCCGGGAGGCCTCCTCTGAGCCTCAGGGCCAGGTTGAATGGCCTCATACAAACAGTAATTCCCATAGCACGGCATCTGCCTATCGTTCCTGTGCAATCAGATGGGGCTCTGTTTGCTATCCCCACATGACCGCATTACACGACTCGACGGTCCAAAGGAAATGCTGAAGGAAAAAGATCCTCAGGTCTTCCTCAAGCAGCTCTGACTGGAGGCACCATTGCTTTCCCCCACTTGCCGGCTTCCCTGTATCTGTGCTTAGCTACAAAGGGGGTCAGGGCGACATCAACTTATTCAGCTCCCCCCTCCACACACACCTTCAACTTGAGACGGGCTTCTCCAGTCCTGAATCCTAGCTGGGACTTCCTTCAGTCAAAGGCAGCCTGAACAAGCCACCAAACTCATGCACTGGTGCCATCTATTGGTCAGAATCCAACCCTATTCCTTAATTAAGACTGCCAGACACTTGATCTTTGAGCACTTTCATTCCTCTAGTCCCAATTCTGCTTGTAAGGAAAGTGGAACCCACCGTGTGCCAGCTGTGTGACCTTGCGTGAGTTACTGATCCACTCTGAGCCTCAGGCTCCTCATATGTAAAATGGGGTTAGCAAGGAGACTTCCAAAGGGTTATGGCGAGGTTTCCATGAGATGGTAGACAAAGTACTCAGCACAGTCCCGGGCAGAGTCGAAGCGCTGACTACGTGGTAGTAGAAGGCATAGCAATAGTAGCTGTAGCTGCTGCTAATAGTGAGTTTGTCAAAGACATGAGCTTATGGGCTAGAATCAGCCAATGACTGTTTGACCCAAGTAAACCTCCACCTGATCTCCCTGGCACCATTTGATGGTTTCATTGTCAGAACAGCCCTGCAGTGTTTGTCTCATTAAAAACAAACAATAAACAACATTTGGGAAAAAAAAACAAATAAACAAAGACCACCTGGGGCTTCCCAAACCAGTCTTTACTTTCCAAGAGTGGCCCACAGGGTGCAGGTTCCTCTTTCCTAGGGCAAAGGTTTTAAAAGATTTGTGTTCTAAACAGGAAAATACTTCTTTTGGATCAAATGCAGATGCCCCATGTACAAATCCAACAAAAATGGAGCCGCCCTCATGGCAGTCACAGTTGGGGGCCAGGGCTTGCAGAATTCCCACCCTGCGGTCCTATCTCTTGTAAACCAACTCCCTCCTCGCCTCCCCACTTGTGTGAGGCACCTTCGGGGATCCTCAGGTTGCAGGGAAGACAATTTGGAAACCACTTACCAAGGGTTAAACTAAGGTTGATTTGAAGTGGAAGGGGGATTAATTAGTATTTGAACATGTCCAGTGTTCCGTTTAAAAATCCTTGTTTTGGGGCCCTTAAGCTTCCGACATTTCATAGCTCAAAAATTACTGGATTCTTTATACCATAGGTTATAGGGATTTGAGATCCTTGGAATCCCAATATCCTTGGTTTTAAGGTATTATATAGCATAGAATTACAAATCCCTAAATCCCCAGGGGTTTAAAGACCCTAAAACCCTGGAGCAGGAATTCTTAACTTAGAATGAGCTCTTCACACTTCCCCACTGCCTCCTCCTGACTGCACATGTGCTGTTGTGTACTGGGCACACATTGCCTCCCCTGTCCTGAAATGGCTCCCGATCCTCCTCCTCCTCCTGCATGGTTGCTAAGAGATTGGAATTCACAGCTCTGAGTAACTGGAGCCCAGTGCAAGCTACTTTGTTAGGGGTTAATCCAGTCCTTACAGCAACTTCATCTGCCCTGCACAGACTGAGGAGAAGAATCTGTGCAAAACAGAGTTCTTCTTCTGGCTCCAGCCAGCATGGCCCGCTCTAGTGCCCCAACACTTCCCCATCCCAGCACCGTCGGTCCCTTCTCCCCGCCCTCTCCCACAGCAACTGAGAGAAGGCACATCCACTGGGGGTAAGGCTACACTTGAGCAGTGCCTTGAGGGATGAGCATGGGTAGAGCTGGAGGAAGGAAACTTTCCAGAAAGAGGCACCAGTGTGAATTCCTTCATTAAACAAACATGTATTGGGGCCGGCGCTGTGGCACAGCAGGTTAACGCTCTGGCTTGCAGTGCCGGCATCCCATATGGGCACCGGTTCAAGACCCGGCTACTCCACTTCCTATCCAGCTCTCTGCTATGGCCTGGGAAAGCAATAGAAGATGGCCCAAGTCCTTGGGCCCCTGCATCCGCCTGGGAGACCTGGAAGAAGCTACTGGCTCCTGGCTTGGGATCGGCACAGTTCTGACTGTTGTGGCCAATTGGGAAGTGAACCAGTGGGTGGAAGACCTCTCTCTCTGTCTCTACCTCTCTCTCTCTCTCTCTCTCTGCCTCTCCTCTCTAACTCTGACTTTCAAATAAATAAATAAATCTTAAAAAAAAAAACGTATTGAGAAGCTTCTAGTGGGCCGGATGTTTCTATTGTATTGACTAAGAGCATGAGCTTTGGAAGCACATGTACCCGGGTTCAAATTCCATAACCACCATGTGCTGGCTGTATTCATGGGCCCACTCCTCTCCAGTGTCAAGGTCAGCTCCATTGAGAGCAGGTCTCACTACGACCTCTGTCCTTGCTTGTTATATCCCACTTCCTTTCCACTCGGCATGTGTTCAGTGAAGTAGCTGACTCTTCTCCTCTGCCTGTGGGCACGTGGAAGGCCCTGCCCTAGCCCACCCGTCCCTGCAGTAGGCATTACCAACCCCCAGCTGCAACTGTACCTGTTCAGTCTCCTAGGGGTTATATTTCTTGTCTCTTTTCCTCCCTAGTCCCTTGCTATAAAATAATGGCCAATCCTTCTCCCAAGCAGCTTTTTAGGTGGCCTGAATTCACTGTTTTGACCTGTTGGCAACATGGTGTTGGTTACTGTAGCTTTTGGGTTAACCTCAGCTGGCAAGGCCTGTAGCAGCCTTGTGCAAGTGCACAAATCTTAACCACAGAAACTGGGAAAACAGTGAATGCTCTGTAAGTGACAGCTAAAACACTCACTTAAAAATGTATTAGTATAAAGAGAACAGCTTTCATGTATTTCATAGGTATAATTCTTTGTGTTGTTGTTCATAAGTACAATACTGAAGATTTTAACAAGACACTTACTACTCATGTAACACAGTGTCTCCTGTAATACAGTAATCACAATGGTTCTAGAGATAGACACACTTCTTATCCTCATTTATGAATGAGACCATTAAGAGTTAGCAGCTTTTTGAGCCTGAATTTGTGTGTTTCCATAGCGGTTGCCATGACCTTGCCAGCTAGCGATAAAACCAAAACACAGTAAGCAACAGCAGGCTCCTGACAGGTCAGAACTGTGAAATCAGCCACCCTTTTACAGCGGGAGATGAGGAAAGAAAGGAGACAAACTGCCCGGAGATAAGCATGTGGCACAGTGGGGAAGGAAGGCGAGGTGGTGATGGCATCTATTCGGGTGGAAGAGGTGGCTTGCCCTGTCCAGGGGGACAATAGGCAACAGGGAGGCTAGAAGGATCAGAGGGAGCATAGCCGGTTAGACTTGAATTCCTACTCTGGATGCATGGCTAAAGCACCTTTCATGGATGAATTTTGATACAGCAGCTCTGCGGGAGAGGTACAGTTAGGGAAACTGAGGCTTAGTTTGAAAAAGTATGCCCCCCACCCCCAGAACACACACTAAGTGCCAGGGGTTTGCATGCGACTTCATTCACTCCTTACAACAACCCTAAAAGGTAAGAACTATTATCATTCTTGTTTTGCAGGGTGAAGAAACGGAAGCTCGGCGAGGTTAGAAGAACGGGCTCCAGGTCACACAATTTACAAAGGGCCGCTCTAAGATGTGAGAGATGACAGCCGAGTGGCAGCCCCAGGATGCAGGTCTGTGTGACTCCAGAGCCCTGTGTCTGCAGGAGGTGGACTCAGTGGGGCTCTGAGAGGGATTAAAGCTACAGGAGGGGAGGGCGGGCGAGGGGGAAAGAGTTTAGGCTGTGGCTGCAGGGAAATGAGTCAGAGGATGGGAAGAGCTCCAAGCCAGGAGCCAGGACATGCTGAGGAAAGGCGTCACCACGGCGGGGGGGGGGGGGGGGGGGCTTTCGGGGGTCTCTCGCAGGTCAGTGGCAGCCTCTCCCACAGCCTAGCAGTGAGCACAGGGCCCAGTGAGGCGATTCTGTGTCCGCCCGCTCCGTGCGGTGTTGCCTGTGGGCAGAGTGGGCCACAGCTGAGCGAACCCTATCAGGTGACAGGGATTGGTCCTCCTGTTTACACAGGAAAGCAGGGCTCCGAGAAGTGAAGCGAGCCGACAGCTCTCACACAACCCGAAAGTGGGGAAGTAAGGGGAGAATCGGGACTTGTGGAGCCTCCCCCTGTCATCTTCGTTTCTCCCAGAGAAGCCTCGGGAGTTCCAGGGGGCAGGCAGCTCTCCCTGGCCTCCTGCACCTATCGGGAAAGAAATGAGTCAACTGTCACATCCAGGCATTTCTGTAGCAGGCATTTCCATGCCACGGATGGGAACACCTGAGGCTTGGCACCAAATATGAACTTGAAAAAGTTAAGAGTCCAAGAATCCGGGCCTGGGTTCTTCAAGTCTTTCACCTTACCAAGAGCCAGCTCCAAGTTCCCAGTAAGTCACCTGCCCATTAACAGCAAGAGACGCAGCACCCTCTAGTGGCTGACCTCTAAACCTACAGCACCAGGCACAGGATCAAGAGGCCCACTCAGCCACAGGAATCTGTGGCCTGTGGCCGGCAATCTTTGCTGCCTGCAGTTTGTAGAGACAACCTCAGAGGGCAGACTTAACGTGAGCTCAGACACTAGCTCCGCTTCTCGCTAGCTCAGTGCGCATGAGGAAATTAGTCTCTTAAGCCTTAGTTTCTTCATCTATAAAATAGAAATGATAATAACACCAGTCTCACAGGGTTATTGTAAGAATTAAATGAGATATAGATATGCAAGCAAGGGGCTTAGCAGAGTGAGTACTTGGGACATTATAGACATTATAGACTTGAGCTATATTTATACATACTTACATTTCTATATATGCACAATATTATGTGTGTATGTATTCTGATTTTGGCAACTGCTATCATATTAGTAGTCACATCCTTGACTCTCCTTACATTTCTGACCTAGCTCTATGAGGTTCTTGGCACCCCTCATCTGCTTGCTTTACACAGGTGCTAGTCTGTACATTTTAGAGCAACTTGACACCATGATCGCCTTTGAAACTCTTTCAACATTTCCAAAGAGATATCCCCGTTTCACAATGAGGAAATTGATGATGATGATAAGAGAAATGACTTGGGGAAGGTTGTATAACAGATCAGTGCAGGGGGTCAGGACAGACCCCAGAATCTGGGTGTGGCCTCCATATGTTTTCCACCATCCCTTGCAATCTTTCAGAGCCCTGAACTCTGGCTAAGTACGAAGCAACTGTAACCTAGGACACAGCTTCTTCCGCAGGTCCCATCACTGCACTCAGACAAGCCCGTGTTCTGCCTCTATTGAAGCCATCGTGGTATCCCCAGTAAAACTGGCGAATGATGCTTTTTCACCTAAAAGGAATGGCAGTGCGTTACCAGGACTGGTGACCCAAGACCACAACTTCTCGGAAGCACGGCAAGACTACAGTGGAATGTTAGCTAACAGGTTTGCACAGAGATGAGCAGCCTCCCTTCAGCCCGTCTGTGTGCACTGCTTGAGGAATCAGCCGCTGTCTTGGACTCACAGCCAGCTTGCTCTAGACACTCATCTCATAGTGGACAGAACCGGAGGTGTGTCACAAGGGCAACCTCGTCAGTACGGAGATCGGGAGGCGTTGATGTGTGTCACCCGCATGGGACTTCACGGCAGCCTCTGTTTTCAGGCACTGAAGGAAGCAGTATGATAATAACATGAAGAACTTGACATGACTCTGGGAGGCACAGGATGCAGGCTCAACCGTCTCCTCTCATTCGAACACACTGGCAACAACATGGCCACTGCTGAGATAACAAATCATTGAGCCCACAGACCTCCTACGTAGCCTGCTCCCCACCCCGCCCCCGGCCCTGGCTTCTGCTCAGAGGGGAATCTTGTTACTTCCTCCCCGGAGCATTGGATCTTCTGAATGGCACGGAATTTTCTATTTTTCTGTTGTCACTTGTTCTTCACTCTCTCGTCACCATGGCAACCCAAGAGGGCGAGCCAGCATTGAATTCAACCCTGCCCAATAGGCACACGCGGAATAGCAAGTGTACTCCTTCGCTCATCCTCCTGTTAGGGAAATGGGACATTTTTGTTGCTCCCTCCATGCTTCAGCTTTGGTCCGTGGTGGAGAGCAAATCCTTTCATGTGCAGTTCCAGCCACTTGGTTATGGCCCTTTCTTCATCACCCTGCATGGGAGTTACTAATCTGAATGCTCTCGCCAGTGAGCAGGGCCATCGCAGTGAAAAATGATACACATCTGTGACTGTGTAATCCGTTCCACTTGCTGCTAAAAGATTAAGTCAGACAAAATGTTAGCTTCCCAGATTTGGAGGGGAAGGGGGGAGCTTAAGCTGCATTTCTAGTCCAGTTTGTAAAAATCAGAGACTCCTGCAACAGAAAGATAGAGGGGCGGATGGATTTATCAAGCCTATGCTTAATTCTCAAATCGAGCTTATATTACTACATACTGTGCTTATTCCTCTTCTATTGCTCCATGTGCACATCATTTCCTTGGCGGGAGGCCTTGATGAGCAGGTAAGTGGAAAGATTCAGGCACAGAAATTCCACCTTGAACCCACAACACCTGGAGAGGTTTGCCCAGCGTCAGAGTGTTGTCCCAACTTATATCTACACTAGGCAAAATGGTGCACTTGTTCGGCTTCCTCACCTTCCACTGATTTCTGAGGATCTGGGGAGCACATTCAGCGTAAATTCAAATTCTGTAGCAGGCTTCCAGATGTGCTCGGCTCTCCCGTGGATACCTGCGCGGTGAAACTGTCAGCCTGCGAGGAGGAGCTTTGCCTTGGGCAAACAGTGAAATTTGCCCTGCTTAAACACTATCACGGAAACTTGCATAATTATACGGCGATATTCTTGTAAAACTGTTGGCAACTCCTTGTAAACCTAGAATATTTAATTACAGGATACTTAATGGGGACAGTGTGATGGGAAGGAAAGAGCAGCAGGCACCAGGAGACCTGACTCAGGTGCTCATTCTGATTCTCTCACTAATTATCTGTAATATCTTGGACAAGTGATTTGATTTCCTCATCCTGCAGTGGGGGTGATCTTTACACTATTAACTTCGTAGGGTAGTGGGAAATGAGCGGCTAATTATACCATGAAAGCACTCTGAGAAGGGTAAGAGGTTACCTAAAGGTGTGTTTTGTAAGGACTGTGAAAGGAACTTCCTCATGCCAACACAAGCCCTGGAAATTCCTGGGAGAAACCCAGAGATGTGGCCCAAACGCCAATAAGGTAGATTTCTGGAGAAGTTAATGCTCATAGCTCCACTTCTAGATATAGGCAAGATATTTCGCTTTCTCTTTTTTTAAAACTTTTTAAAGAAGATTTTATTTATTTATTTGAGTTACAGGCAGTGAGAGGGAGAGACAGAGAGAAAGGTCTTCCATCCAATTGGCCGCAATGGCCGAGCTGCGGCGATCCGAAGCCAGGAGGAGCCAGGAGCTTCTTCCCGGTCTCCCATGTGGGTGCAGGGACCCAAGGACTTGGGCCATCTTCTACTGCTTTCCCAAGCCACAGCAGAGAGCTGGATTGGAAGAGGAGCAGCCGGGACTAGAACTGGAGCCCATATGGGATGCCGGCGCCGAAGGTGGAGGATTAACCTCCTGCGCCACAGCGCCGGCCCCTTCACTTTCTCTTGGACTGCCCTCCTTTCCTGGAGCCCCCATTTCTGAATCAGCTTGGGAAAGCTGTCGAAGAGGCTCTGTGCGTGGAACTGTGGCTGTGGGAGCAGTAGCTTTGCTTGGCTTCCTGGCAGTGGTAACATTTGGTGGTTGCCATTGGCAATGGCTTACAAATCTGCAGCTGATGTTATTTCTTCAAAGCTGGGCTGCCGGTGCATTTGAGTAAAATGAACATATTATGTCACTCTGAAAGCACTCGGCGTGTTAGGAAGACGGAGTTTTTCCCCTTAGAAACGACCTCGAGGATATATACTGTTTAATTTCCAAAAATGCACTGGGAAATTTTGAAAATTTTCTCTCAAATGGTGGAAACATCTACAAATAATGCACGAAAGAACAACCACAGCCAGAAAAATGGTGCTGGAAATGGCAGGAGAAATTCCAACTGATCGAAAGGCTTGTTGAAACACAAAAAGGACAACGAAGGCAGATATGGGAATTCAAATAAAATCATCAAAGGTGGCAAAGATTCATTTTCCTTTTTTTAAAAAAATATTTTATTGATTTATTTTAGAGGCAGAGTTACAAACAGAGAAAGAGACAGAGAGAGACAGAGAGAGAGAGGTCTTCCATCCACTAGTTCACTCCCCAGATGACCGCAACGGCTGGAGCTGAGCTGATCCGAAGCCAGGAACCAAGAGCTTCTTCCGGGTCTCCCACATGGGTGCAAGGGCCCAAGGACTTGGGCCATCTTCCACTGCTTTCTCAGGCCATAGCAGAGAGCCAGACTGGAAGAGGAGCAGCCAGGATTTGAACCGGCTTGAACAGATGCCCATATGCGTTGTTGGTGCTGCAGACGAAGGCTTAACCTACTACACTACAGTGCTGGCCCCTCATTTTACTTTTAAAAAAGGCAAGGGTGGAGACACTAGTCACTATGGAATGTGCTGCACGCTTTGTATACGCCCTTTCCTGCTAAGATACATGCAAAATTGCCTAGGACAAGTTCCAGAAAGAAAAATGGTGCTCTTCGTATCTGAAGGAAAGGTACAAATCATGCATGCATATGTTGGTAATGCTTCCCTACATACGGTTTTGTGAATCCAAGATATTGCATGCTGTTCCTGAAGATACCACAATTGAAACCAGAAGGAGGAGAGTAGGATTAAAAAGCGAAACAGGCAGGGGACTAAGTAATTAATGATGTTAAAAATACTGACAGAAAACTATATCCACAAGCGCAAAGGTGCCGCTGTGCTAGGGCGGCAGCATTAAGAGTGATTTTATTTTATATCCTCTTGTTTTCAAATGCTCCTAAGTGGGCTTATGCTGCTTTCAGAGTTTTCAGTTAAAGGTTAAAGCAGTCCGGGGAAAAAACAGACATGTTAAGCCCAAAGAGAAACACTGAAATTGCTAGCCTAACAGGACCAATCCTTGACGCCAAAGACAAGAAATAGGATGATCTCATCAAAGTGCTGGTGGTCGAAACAGAATTTCTTAAAAAGTAATCTAGAACTTGATACTCCACAAAATATCTTTCAAAAATGAAGGTGACTACCCCCCATAAAGATGCCAAATTGATGTTTATCGAGAATACAAAAGCAATTCAATGGAGAAAGATAGCTTTTTCATAAAATGGTGCTAGAAACAATTGGTTGGGTAGAGGCAAAAAAAAAAAAAAAAAAAGAAAGAAAAAAGAAAAGAACAGAACCTTAATCGAAACCTCACTTTATACAAAAATGTAATTCAAAATCAAATCAACTCTTTTTCCCATTTGACTACCACATTTTCTCCAATTAATACCTTTTAGTGGCTATGCTTATGGGATAGGTTAAAATTGCCATGATCTGAAGAGGGAGGGACTTTTGGTACCCTTCTATATGAAAAAGCTGGACAAAAAAAAAAAAAAAAAAAAAAGAAATCAGCTCTTTCAGATTACAGATATGAGTGACACCATGTGGTATTTGTGCTTAACTGCCTGGCTTATTGCACTTAACATAATGTGGTCCAAATTCATCCACGTTCCACATCACAAATGCCAAGATTTCCTTTTCGAGGTCAAAGTTCTGGTGCAGCGGGTTAAGCTTCTGCTTGTGATACTGACATCCCATATCGAAGTACCCAGGATTGAGCATCACCTCCTCTTCTGATCCAGCTCCCTGCTAATGCACCTGGGAAAGCAGTGGAAGATGCCCCAAGTGCTTGGGCCCCTGCACCCATGGGAGAGATCCAGATGGAGTTCCTGGCTCCTGGCTTGGCCTGGTCCTTTGGGAAATGAACCTGTGGGTGAAAGATCTCTTTCATCTCTCTCTCTCTCTCTCATGCTCTGCCTTTCAAATATATATGCATATATAAATCTTTAAAAATAGATTTCCTTCTTTTTCTGGCTAAACAGAGAACAGCATTCCATTGTGTATATGTACAATATATATTTTTTAAAGATTTATTTATTTTATTTGAAAGAGTTACAGAGAGTCAGAGTCGGCGTGGGGGGGGGGGTCCTTCCATTTGCTGGTTCACTCCCCAGTTGGCCAAAATGACCGGAGCTGGGCTGATCTGAAGCCAGGAGCCAGGAGCCTACTCCACATCTCCCACGTGGGTGCAGGAGCCCAAGGACTTGGGCCATCTTCTACTGCTTTCCCAGGCCTTATCAGAGAGCTGGATTGGAAGAGGAGCAGCCAAGACTAGAACTGCCGCTTCTATGGGATGCTGGCGCTTCAGGCGGCAACTTTACCTGCCACAGTGCCGGCCCTTTTTTGTTGTTATTGTTTTTAAACATTTGCAATATTTTTAAGCCATTCATTTATTAATGAGCACCTTGGTTGATTCCACATCTGGGCTATTGTAAATACTGCTGCAATGAACATGTGCAGATGTTTTGTAGACATGCAGCTTTCATTTCCTTCGGTATAAAGTTGAATCTGTGGAAGTCAAGATTTTTGATGGTGGTTCCCAGGGGCTGGAATGCTTGGGTAAGAGTGTGGGAGAGATGTCAATCAAGCACGCAATTTCAGTAAGACAGGAGGAATACATTTAAGAGGTCTATGGTACAGCGTGGTGGCTATGTATACATACACACACACAAATTAGGCCTGCCAGAGCTCTCCAGGAAGGAAATAAGTTTTTAAAAGATTTATTTATTTGAAAGGCAGAGTTACAGGGAGAGAGAGATCTTCCATTCGCTAGTTCACTTCCCAAATGGCCATAACAGCTGCAGCTGAGCCAGAGTCAAAGCCCGGAGCCAGGAACTTCATCTGGGTCTCCCAGGTGGGTGGCGGGGACCCAAGTACTTGAACCATCCTCTGCTGCTTTCCCAGCACATTAGCAAGGAGCTGGATCAGAAGTGGAGCAGCCAGGACACAAACTGGCGCCCATATGAGATACTGGCAGGGTGGGGGTGGGTTAACCCACTGTACAACAACGCTGGCATCAAACTTTAAAAATTTATTTTTTGTTTATTTTATTTACTTAGGAGAGAGAGAGTGCAAGAGAGAGAGAGAGGGAGAGAACAAGTGCACTCTTATCCACTGGTTCACTTCCCAAATGACCACAACTGGGGCTAGGCCAAACTGAAGCCAGGAGCAGGGAAGTCAATCCTGGTCTCACAAGTGGGTGGCAGGGACACAAGTAACTGACCCATCACTCACTGCCTCCCATGGTGTATATTAGCAGGAAGCTGGGATCAGGGGTAGAGCCAGGGCTCAAATCCAGGCACTCTGATATGGGGTGCCGAGTACCCCCAAGTAGTGTCCTATGGACAAATACCTGTTCCAGTGACTATACTTAATAGCAATACAGTATATTCTTGAAAAATGTTGAGAGTGGAGTTTTAAAATAAGATTTATTTATTTATTTGAAAGGCAGAGTTAGGGGCCAGTGCTGTAGCATAGCGGGTAAAGCCACCGCCTGCAGTGCCAGCAACATATGGTGCCAGTTCTAGTCCTGGCTGTTCCTCTTCCAATCCAGCTCTCTGCTATGGCCTGGGAAAGCAGTAGAAGATGGCCCAAGTTCTTGGGCTCCTGCACCCACATGGGAGACCTGGAAGAAGCTCTGGGCTCCTGGCTTCGCATCGGCACAGCTCCAGCCATTGTGGCCAATTGGGGAGTAAACCAGCGGATGGAAAATCTCTCTCTCTCTCTCTCTCTCTCTCTCTCTCTCTCCATTTCTCTCTGTCTCTCTGCCATTCCTTCTCTCTGTGTGTAACTCCAACTTTCAAATAAATAAATACATCTTTTTAAAAAAAGAAAGGCAGAGTTGAGGGGGGAGAGAAAGATCTTACATCCACGGGTTTACTCCCAAATGGCTGTAATGACCGGGTTTGGTCCAGGCTGAAGGCAGGAGCCAGGAGCCTCTTCCAGGTCTCCCACATGGTGCAGGGGTGCAAGCACTTGGGCCATCTTCTGATGCTTTTCCAGGTGCATTTGCAGGGCACTGGATTGGAAGTTGAACATCCAGAACTTGAACCAGCACCCGTATGGGATGCCAGCACTGCAGGCCGGGACTTTAACCAACTGCACCAGAGTGCAAGCTCAGAGAGTGGATGTTAAATGATAAACAAAAATGTGAGGTATACATGTTAATACTGATTCCACAATGTATAAATGCTTTGAAACATCATGTTGTACATGATAAATATATACAATTTTCTCCATAGATTTTTTTTTTGACAGGCAGAGTGGACAGTGAGAGAGAGACAGAGAGGAAGGTCTTCCTTTTCCATTGGTTCACCCCCCAATGGCCACTGCGGCCAGCGCGCTGCGGCCAGTGCACCTCGCTCATCTGAAGCCAGGAGCCAGGTGCTTCTCCTGGTCTCCCATGGGGTGCAGGGCCCAAGGACTTGGGCCATCCTCCACTGCACTCCTGGGCCACAGCAGAGAGCTGGACTGGAAGAGGAGCAACTGGGACAGAATCCGGGGCCCCGACTGGGACTAGAACCCAGTGTGCTGGTGCTTCAGGCGGAGGATTAGCCTATTGAGCCGCGGCGTTGGCCTCTCCATAGATTTTTTAAAAAGATTTACTTATTTATTTATTTATTCAAAAGGCAGAGTAACATGGAAAGAGGAAGAGAGAGAGAGAGCTCTTCCATCTGCTGGTTCACTCCCCAAATGGCTGCTACAGCCAAGGGTGGGCCAGGAAGAAGCAAGGAGCCGGAGCTCCATCCAGGTCTTCCACAGGGGTAGCAGGACCCCAAACTCCTTTGACCATTCTCTGCTGCCTTCTCAGGCACATTAGCAGGGTACTGGATCAGAAGCAGAGCAGTGATCCAATATGGGATGCCAGCATCACAAGTGGTGGTTTAACCCACTGCACCACAATGCTACCTCATACCCTCTGTATATTTTTGAAAAATAAGGGCCAGGCATTGTGGTGCAGTGGGTTAAGTTTTGCCTGAGATGCTGACATCCCATAAATGCACTGGTTCATTTCCTGGCTGTTCCGACTCCAATCCAGCTCCCTGCTAATGCACCTGGGAAGGCAGTAGAAGATGGCCCAAGTGCTTGGGCCCCTGACACCCACATGGGAGACTCAGATGGAATTCCAGGCTCCTGGATTTCACCTGGCCCAGCTCTGGGTGTTGTAGGTGTTTGGGAGAATGAACCAGTGGATGGAAGATGTCTTTGTCTCTCTCTCTCTTCTAGAAGTCTGCCTTTCAAATAAATAAATAATTCTTTAGAAAAGAGAGGGATCTAATTTTTTAAAATAAAATAATGGAAAAAACAAATGTGCTAAAAATAAATAATAAAAGCAGTAAGAATAAAAAAAATCAATCCCAAGTGGATCACAGATAAATGTAAAATTTTTTTTAAACTTTTAGAGAAAATCATAGAAGAAAATCATTGGTATCTATAACTAAGCAGAGTTCTTAGACTTGACAGTGAAATCTTTTTTTTTTTTTTGACAGGCAGAGTGGACAGTGAGAGAGAGAGAGACAGAGAGAAAGGTCTTCCTTTTGCCATTGGTTCACCCTCCAATGGCTGCCGTGGCCAGCGCGCTGCAGCCAGCGCACCGTGCTGATCCGAAGGCAGGAGCCAGGTGCTGCTCCTGGTCTCTCATGGGGTGCAGGGACCAAGGACTTGGGCCATCCTCCACTGCACTCCCGGGCCACAGCAGAGAGCTGGCTTGGAAGAGGGGCAACCGGGAAAGAATCCGGGGCCCCGACCGGGACTAGAACCCAGTGTGCCGGCGCCACTAGGCGGAGGATTAGCCTATTGAACCGCGGCGCCGGCCTGACAGTGAAATCTTGCACTATAAAAAAAATTGATAAATTGGACCTCATCAAAATGAAAAACTTGTGCTCTGTGAAATATCATGTGAATTAGATGAGAAGATAAGCTACAGAGTGGCTGAAGAGATTTGCAAACCACATCATTGTCAAAGGACTCATATCTAGAATATAAAGAACCCTCAAAACTCAACAGTAAAAAAAAAAAAAAACACTTCAGTCAGAAAATGGGCAAACGACATGAGCAGACACATCACCAAAGAGGATGTCCAGATGGCAAGCAAGCCCAGGAAAGCTGTTCTGCATCATTAGCTGTATTCATTTGCTGGGGCTGTCACAACAAGGCACCACAGACTGGGTGGTTTTAGCAACAGAAATGGATTTCCTCACAGTTCTGCAGACTGCAGGGCTGAGATCAGAGTGTCAGTCGCGCTGCTTTCATCCCAAGGCCTCTCTCTTTGGCCTGTACTTGGAGGCCTTCTTGTTAGCTTTTAACATGGTTCTCTCTCTTTTATTATTATTATTTTTGAAGATAGATTTATTTATTTATTTATTTATTTGAAAATCAGAGTTACCCAGAGAAAGGAAGAGACAGAGAGAAAGAGAGAGAAGTCCTCCATCTGCTGGTTCACTCCCCAAATGGCTGCAACAGCCGGGGCTGGGCCAGGCCAAAGCCAAGAACCAAGGAGCTTCCTCCA